CATGCGGCAGTTTTCATCAACCCTTCCTTGATGTGTTAAATTTGACAATGAACCCCTCCCACGTGTATGGCGCTATTGTGTATGGCGCTATTGCGTGTCGCACATGCAGCTCAGTGGTTCTGTTGCGGCGATAAGTTCTTCATCTGTGAACATACACTCAAAGCATGTCAATTGTCATGACTATTTATCATATCACAACCTGCATAGGTATTTGCATTTCAATATCCCCTACTTTTTGAAGAGTATATATAGTCAAACAGTAGTAAGAAGTTTTATTTTAATCCCGTCAAGTGTCTGTGGTTTTAACCAATTTTCAACCACATCATTCATATCAAACAATGAAATATAATTTTCAGGTACGACTGGCATGCCAATTTGGACACACATACCCGGCATGGTTGTTTGAACCGTCCAAATGGTGAATATGTGCCAATGCTCTGGGGTGAAGCTCGAATGCACAATGCCACTGTATATTCCATTTCTGATCATGTTCTTGGATTCAACGAACCAAATATTAAAAGCCAAGCAAACATGACACCTGAGAGAGCTGCTGCCCTGTGGCCGGAAGCTGAAATGAAAGCTTCTGGGAGGACCCTTATTAGCCCCGCCGTTGCTGGATGTGATAAGGCTCAACACTGTATTGACTGGTTTACAAAGTTTTTCGCAGCTTGTCTAAAATGTCGAGTTGATGCTTTGGCCGTTCATGCGTACAACTGTGATGCAAAACATCTGGTTACTTCATTAGAAACAGTTGCAAAACATTTCAACAAAAAGATCTGGTTAACAGAATTTGCCTGTCACTCGGCTAAAACCCAAGAACAGCAACTACACTACATGAAGCAGGTACTACCCTTGCTAGAGTCATCTCTGTATGTCGAACGTTATGCATGGTATGAAACACGAACCTATAAGAATACAACCTTTATCACGTCTTCCACAGACCTGTTGGACAGGCATGCATCTACTTTAAACAAGCTTGGTCAATTTTATGATAGTTACAAGCATTCTGGAATTGTAGGTTAAAGAAGTCCTGCTTATGGGAAAATAAATAAAGTTTCACATTAGATTAATGTTGTTTTTGTTAATTGAGTGGGATTGGATTTTTGTTAAGTCATATTCCATCATTTAAAGCTGTTAAATGATGGATGGTGCTGATTTAAACTTTTTAATAAATGGGAAGTGTAGTTAATGTGAATAACAACGCTGTAAGAATTTATCTTGTGCTATACTCATTTGTCAGTTAAACCGGTATGCTAAACCATGAACCCTTTCTTTTGACGTGGCAGTACTAAACAACCGAGGCAGGGATATTATTCTACAGATGTCATCACGGAATTGGTGATAACAATAACTTGTCTTTAACTTCTATATCTATTTCACTATATCAGTATTTCTGTATTTACTTAATTGACGTGTTATTATGATAGAAAATGACACTACTTCCCTACGGAAAAGCCATTAACATTCAAAATTAATTGTTCTGTGGGCCCGATGGTATTACATTTTATTGGAGTTTGTACCTTGTTCAGCTGTGACCATTCCCATTATGTTGTAACCTTCACACAATTTCAACTCATATCTACTTTCTCTTATCATATTTACACCGAACTGATTTTGTTATGGTTAAGTATAGCGTATAGTAAGAATGAAGATGTTCTTTGGGTCTGTTTTCATCGCCATCTTGGCTTTTACACACGTTGGAGCGACTCCAAAGAAGGGTATTGGTGTTGGCAAGCCTTTATATCTCTGTAATGATACTAATGCATTTCATGGCGTCTCCTGGTGGTAAGATTATTTTTACTAGTCCAATCCAATCCATTTATGTTTTGGGCCACCCCTATTTGCAATACAAACCAAGTTGTGTTTTCCTAAACTTTAAGAAACACGCAGCTTCATTTCTGTTGCAATTACTTGTGTTTTAAGCCCTCCTTCTTTTCATATTTTGACCAAACATGATAATATTATGCCAATCTGATTAAAATACAGATCTATATTTCGTTTCGTTTTTTATACTTTCGATGGCCTACACTACATGAAGATCTGACAAGTTATAGCGATAGGTTACGTCAGGGGTCAAAAGACCGACTTATGACCCTACGACGTCAGACATTTGATTAACCAATCAGCATTGATGTTACTAGTGGATAACCCACAGTTCCGTGAAAAACACGCCTAAAGTTCGCCGTAACAGACCGTTTCATAGGCTTATCCCTGACACCATTCAGAACACGAGTTAAATAACATCTCTCCCAGATCCAAGTGTAGTAAAGACAAGTAAAACGAAATTTTGAACTATAAAAACGAAACGAAATAGGATCTGTGTTTTAACCAGATTGATATTATGTCTGCCCGCGGGGCTTTTGAGAAGTAGGAGAACACAGAGAAATTCATGACGTTAATATACTTATTGTAAAGAAAAATCAATGGATTGCAGCCAATACCATGTTGATGAGGAATATCACTGTAGATCACTCTATAAGCATTGATATTTACGTGATTCCTCAAATTCCGTCTGACTTACCATGTTTTTATTTTGCAAAATTGAAATATTTTTCATATATATTTAGCCAGGTATGCCGCTATTTTTTCATGTGTTCCAATGTGTACCGTTGGCAAAATGGGGTTGAGAACCACTGATCTAGTCCAATACAATGGAATTTTGTGTTTCTAACAGAATAACATACAACAATTATAGTAAAGTAAATTGTGTGGTTCTGAAAGCTAAAAATATACAGAATAACTATACTTACATTATAGTAATATAAAATGGGTGCACACTGTGTTGTTAGAGAAAACTATAACTAACCGTAACTTTGCCAATTGTCAACCTACAATAGCTAAATCTTGGTGTCTTGAACCAGGGTGACTATTTATGGCAGAAACCGATGTACCTAATCCCACAGCCTTATAACCTCGTTTACAAAAATGGATCAATTAGATCTTTTGAAAAGGGTGGAGGGGGATAAATGACGTTTAACGCCCAATCAACATATAGCTTCAAGTTAACTATTTTGTAGGTATGACTGGCATTACGTACCATCTGAACATCAGAGTAAACATTGTACAAATGATCCACATGGTGAATACGTTCCGATGTTGTGGGGTGAGAAGTCTGTTCTCAATTCAACAATACGTATACAGAATGGGTCTAAACACGTCCTCGGATTCAATGAACCAAACGCTAAACATCAATCAAATATGAGCCCGGAGAAAGCAGCTGAATTGTGGCCGGAAGTAGAAAAGAAAGCTGCCGGGAAGAAACTCATAAGTCCTGCTCCAGCAGGTTGTGACGATTCAGAGCGTTGCATCACTTGGTTTATCCAGTTCTTTGCTGCGTGTAAGTATTGTCAAGTAGATGCTCTGGCTGTTCACGCTTATACGTGTGATGCTGGACATCTCATTTCATCATTAGAAGATATTGCAAAGTATTTCAGCAAACCCATATGGTTGACAGAATTTTCTTGCCACAAGGCTAAGACTCCGGAACAGCAGCTAAACTACATGAAGCAGATACTACCCCTGTTAGAGTCGTCTCCCTACATAGAAAGATATTCTTGGTTCCAGACTCGTATTACCCACAACTCAACCTTTCTTAACACTTCCACGGATCTACTGGAAAGGAATTCGTCAACTTTAACCAAGCTCGGTCGATTTTATGATGAGTACCAGTATTCACGTACTGTTCGCTAAGGACATGGAATAAAGCTATTATTTCTTCACAAAACCAATTTGTGCTATAAAATTGTTTGAAATAATGGTACTAGATGTATTAGAAAGATTGGTTTCGTGAGTATACAAAGGGATACAGCTACGAAGGGTAGGAAGGGTTGGCAGTTAGGTTTATCATTTGTGTACAAAAATATGTAGTGTGGACTGTACCGGATTTTACACCATATGGTATATGATTTGTATTGTTCCAGCAGGCCATTACATCAGATAGATATCGACATTGGGTTATATTTTACATAGTGTGGCGAGATGGTGTAATAGTACGTGGAATTTTCCCGGAAGCTCATATCAAGGCACTTATTAGCCCCACCGTTGCCAAATAACCAACCTAACATTAAACGGTTGACGCCAGAATTTTGCTGTCACTCGGCTAAATCCCCAGAACATCAAGATGTTCAGTCCCCTTTAGTATTTTATCAAAGGCTTGTCACATGTCAGGCTCTTTTTTTCTCCATATCTCCGTATCTCTGTTAAGAGTCACCCCCGACCCCTTTTGTTGAATTCAGTGAAATACAAACACCACCTTGATCAACTCTTCCACTTACAGAAATACTTTAAACAGGGCACTTCGCATTGAGGGTTCAATGGAAAAACTACTTTGAAAGCAGTGGGCACCTCGAAAAACAGATAGTTCCTAAACCTTCTAGGAATTAATCCCAGGAGACAGAGATGTTGACCAGATAAAAATTTTATTGGCTTCCAAAGCGCCACACAAATACACCCCTTTAATTAGCGGTATATAGTACCATTCCATAATATTAATCTCAAGGTCTTCATAATTACAGTGTTACTGTTGATTCTTAAATACTACAAGAAAGTATATGTTCCGTCGTAATACCCAATTCTCAATTAATCCGCTATTCCAGATTTAAAAAAACCACCCGGAATATTCTTCAGTCCCTGTCAAGTCATTGTTGATAACTATGAAGTGTCTGGGGAATGGGGTCACTAAACTAGAGAGGCAAAGGTACCTAACTGAAAACATTCCAACAGTTAAATGATCAAGAAATTGTTCATAATTTTAAAATGCCCATATTTCTATATTTATCCAACGCCATTTAATTAGATACATTCACTGGTTAAAGTCCACAAACTTTTGAATTACCATGTCCCACTTTCCCTTTGGTACTACATTTGTATTCAGCTGCTGTTGCTGTTCCCATTACATGATATGCACGTTTATAGGGGTGACCTTCACATTTACCAACTCTTCAGCTCACACCTACCATGTCTTATCATATATACATGTATATGTAGTCACCGATCTGAATTTTACACTTTAAGAATAGCGTAGTGAGTATGGACATGTTCTTCGGGTTTGTTTTCGCCATCTTGTATTCTACATCCGTTGGGGCTACTCCAAAGAAGGGTATTGGTGTTGGCAAGCCTTTATATCTCTGTAATGATACTAATGCATTTCATGACGTCTCCTGGTGGTAAGATCATTTTTACTAGTCCAGTCCAATCTATTTATGTTTAAGCCTACCACTATTTGCAATACAAACCAGGTTGTATTTTCCTAAGCTTCGACCTAGTAATATTTGGCCTGTGGGCAGGGCGTTTGAGAAGTGGGAAAACACGGAAAGACTACATGACGTTAAGAAGGCGATCCTACTCATTGTAAAGTATAATCAATGGATTGGACCTATAACCATGTTGTAGATGACTCAAATATCCAACTCGGCGCATGAAACTCTTCCAATAAATATTTTTAAAAATTCTCTATTCTAAAAATCTAATGCTAAATCAGATGTCCATGTGCAGTTTATTATTAACTTTCGCTTCGGATAAATATTTATAGTTTGAACTTAACTATTTTTGTAGGTATGACTGGCATTACATACCAATTGAACATCAAAGTAAACATTGTACAAATAATCCACGTGGTGAATACGTTCCGATGTTGTGGGGTGAGAAGTCTGTTAGCGATTCAGCAATACATGTACAACATGGATCTAAACACGTCCTCGGATTCAATGAACCAAACATTGATAGTCAGTCCCACATGAGCCCGGAGAAAGCTGCTGAACTTTGGCCGGAAATAGAAAAGAAAGCTGCCGGGAAGAAACTAATAAGTCCTGCTCCAGCCGGCTGTGTCGATTCAAAGCGTTGCATCAGTTGGTTTACGAAATTCTTTGCAGCTTGTAAGCATTGTCAAGTGGATGCCTTGGCTGTTCATGCTTATTCGTGTGATGCTGATCACGTTATTGCATCATTAGAAGCTATTGCAAAGCATTTTAACAAAAAGATATGGTTGACCGAATTTTCCTGCCACTCGACTAAGAATCCGGAACACCAACTTAGGTACATGAAGCAGATACTACCACTGTTAGAGTCATCTTCACACATAGAAAGATATTCTTGGTTCCAAACACGTATTACCCACAACTCAACGTTCATGAATACTTCCACTGATCTACTGGAAAGGAATTCGTCGACCTTAACCAAACTTGGTAAATATTATGATGAGTATAAACCTCCAGGTATTGTTGGTTAAATACATGGAATAAAACTACTGTTACAAAATTTTTATGTGTTTTGAAATTGTTTGAAATAGTGGTACTATTAGAAACACTGAATTTGGTTTGTTTCGTGATTTTACAAAAAAAAAGGGGTATTGACACACGACCAGTCTGGAAGAGTCGGTATGGTGATTGACAACTGACAGTTTGTGTCCATCGTGTGTCAACAAAAACATGTAGTATTGTCTTTACCAGACTTTTTTTAAATTTAAAACTGAATTTAGTATCCTGTAATTAAACTTTTAAAATAGCTTTAAATTTTAACACAATAACTTGAAATTCCAACATATTAACTTAAAATAACTTAGTAAAATAGCATTAAGTTAAAGGGACAATAACACTCTTGCTGGCTTGACAGCTCCAAAAATAAAAAAAATAGCCTTATTCTAAGTACTAGATGTGTTAGTGTCCTACCTGTTGTGTAAATTATCCATTAAATCCTATTTTACTTGTCCAGAGGGTTCAAAAATATTTTTAAATCCAAGTCACATTTGAAAAGCTTTACGTCAGCCTTTTCAAATCATTTAGTTGAATTTTTCCAATTTTTTAAATTAGGTGTGTTAAGATGAAATTTGTATCATCAATTAATTGGAATATTGTAAAATAGCGCAATTTGTTGACCAGAATAAAGGATTGGGACATATTATTCAGTTACAACAAGAGTGGTATTGAGCCTTAAACAAGTCGATACAGAATTACTAGTCAGTGTCTATGCTACTCCTATTAAAGTCACCTATCTTTGTTGAACGGTAAATACGAACATAGGATGACACAAACTTTATCAACCTCTTGGTCAGAATACTTTATACAGTTTGTATTGTGGGTTAAACCCATGACTTTTGAACATAGATCAGATTTGTGTTGTTCCTGTTTGAGGTTGGGTGTCTTATTATATAATAATAATTCCTTGGTAAAACATTTCGATCTTAACAACAGGGTAGATGATACAGATTAAAACTTTATTTGAAAATAACTTACTTAAAACACAGAAGAAAATATTGACACGACATGCACGGTTATTAAAATATAACCAATGCTACGTTTATTAAAATAATGTCGATATACGCATTTCTATCAATCTGAAACGATTTTAGTTCAATTCGTCTCCCCTTAATAAAGAGTTTAATAATTATTTAAAGCTTTAAATTACAAAAATGAATGCATCTACTGTTTTATCGTTTGGTAGAGCCGTTTGACAGTCCATCACTAGCGTCCTCTGTCGTCATAATATTTAGGTTAGGTGAATTTGGAGAAATGTTTGGAAATTTGTTTTCGAGATTTGTTTTTCGTTGTATGTTTCTGATGAAATATATGAAATGAAATGAAATGGAGTTTAACGTCCTACAGTTGTGCTCCGAACTGGGCTAATGAAGACGGTGATGCAATATAAATGTAACTTTTTGATTTTCTAAAATAAATTTTATCATTATATTAAAATATAATTAAATTAAACAAAGTTACAATTTATAAATCTGATATGCCCCCTCGTCCCAAAATGTGCCCTCTCTTCTGAAAAAAATGCCCTCAAAATTTAGAGTTATCTCAGAACTTAAGGAAATGTCCGCGTCAAGGTTCAGCTGTGACCATTCACATTTATTACTCTTTCAGCTGCCACCCCCCGTTGTTTATCATATATATACATATACGCCGAACTGATTTGTTGCTTTTGAAAACAGTGTAGTAAATATAAAGATGTTGTTTGGACCTGTTTTGATCGTCATCTTGAATTTTAAACTCGTTGGCGCTACTCAAAAGAAGGGTATCTGTATTGGAAAAGACCTTTATCTCTGTAACGATATAGATGCATTCCATGATATCTCCTGGTGGTAAGATTTATTTAACTTAATATTCATGAAAATGTTTCGCTTATACACAGACTATTGAGCTGTGGGCGATGCCGCAGAAAATAAATGAAATGGTCTGTTCTGCACCAGCCGGGCTAATGAACGAGGTCGTTTTTGTCCGGACAACAACTAAGGAAATCAGTAGATTAAGAAGGCGACCCAGCTCATTGTAAAATCATGGCACAAAACCTAAGCCCATACTGAAAATATTTATGTTAATTCCTCAAATATTCAGCCCAGTACACACAGGATGTTATCATTGACTTACATTATTAGGAACGATTGCATTTCTAAGTTAACTATTTTGTAGGTATGACTGGGATTACGTTCAATCTGAGAATCAGAGGAAACATTGCACAAATGATCCACATGGTGAATACGTTCCGATGTTGTGGGGTGAGAAGTCTATTCGCGATTCAACAATACATGTACAGCATGGATCTAAACACGTCCTCGGATTCAATGAACCAAACATAAAGAGCCAATCAAATATGAGCCCAGAGAAAGCAGCTGAATTGTGGCCAGAAATAGAAAAGAAAGCTGTTGGGAAGAAACTAATAAGTCCTGCTCCAGCAGGTTGTGAAAATTCAGAGCGTTGTATCAGGTGGTTTACCCAATTCTTTGCTGCTTGTAAGCATTGTCAAGTGGATGCACTGGCTGTTCATGCTTATGGTTGCAACGCGGGGTATCTCATAGCATCATTAGAAGCTATTGCAAAGCATTTCAACAAAAAAATATGGCTTACAGAATTTTCTTGTCACTCGTCTAAGACTCAGGAACACCAACTAAATTACATGAAGCAGATGCTACCTCTGTTAGAGTCATCTCCCTTCATTGAAAGATATTCTTGGTATCAAACTCGTATTTACCACAACACAACTTTCATCACCACTACCACGGATCTACTGGACAGGAATTCGTCAACCTTAACCAAACTTGGTCGATTTTATGATACGTATAAATCTTCACATATTATTGGTTAAATACATGGAATAAAGCTGCTACAATATAATGAAATGGATTTGTGTTTGAATTAATAACGCAACCATTAAAGAAAGACTGAATATTTGGCATGTTTCATGATTGTACAACGAGAACGAGGTATTGCTACATGGCAAGGTAAGAGGGGTTTTAGGTACGACGATTGGTAGTTTGTGCTGATCATGTGTCGTTACCAGAGTTTACACCATATAGTATGTTATTTCTGGTGGGGTGGGATATGTTACTGAGAACTACAGTGTGGACCGCGTGATATACATGTAAGTGTCATTATTCCTACCTCAATATGGGGCATCTGGTCGTGACAGGGAGTGGGAACAAGCATAGTTAAAGGACTGATTGATCACTATGTCCTGGGCAATAATTATAGAACTGAACCTTTTATTGTACTCTTCAGAGAGATTGCGAGTACATGTATTATAATATTTTTTGGTCATCAGTTTATCGGTAATGGACTATTTTTTATAATCCGCACATAACTATCCATGGCATTTTGTGAGAATCCGTCGAATAGGGACCGACAGACAGTCCATGACGACGAACACATTTAATATGAAACCGTATAGTACCATAGATCCTATATGAACATCAAATTTATAGTGCAATGAAACAATGTCAAATTAGTTTAGTAGTAGGATGGCCAATGAAAGCTGTCAAAATGATCGATATTCCAGCAACAAAGTGGTATCAACAGTTTTATTTGATATGTATAGTTATTACAGTGAAGTTATAACATTTTGCTTATTCTCTGAAAAAAAAAACAAAAAAAAAACGGGAACCATTATTCTGACTTTATCCAACCACGTGATTCCGTCCATATTCGTTGTAAAACTTGCCCAGCTCTGTCAACGTCGATGCGTGTTGTTTCAATAAATTAACAGAATTGTTGATGAATGTTGAATTCCAATAGAACCGTGGCTGAAACCAGGAATATTTTTCTATAAAGGGAGCTGACTCTAACATAGGTTGTATCTTCTTTAGAAACTTCAACTGCAAATCCGCTGTTTTTGCAGTGTGACACGCAAACTCGGTTAACCAAAGTTTCTTGTTGAAATGTTCAGAAACAATTTTCAGTTGTCCCATAATATAATCAGCGTCACAACTATAAGAATGAACAGCCAGGGCATCAACTCGGCAATTTTTGCAAGCCGCAAAAAACTTCTCAAACCATTTGATGCAGTATGGCGCATAAGAACACCCGGCTACTGAAGGACTTATCAATTTTCTCCCTGCAGCCTTTTTTTCAACGTCCGGCCATAACTGAGCTGCTCTCTCGGCCGTTATATTTGCCTCAGTGGGCGCGTTTGGTTCATTGAAGCCCAGGACGTATCTTGCTTCAGGTGGTATGACAACGGTTCGAACGTCAGATTCAAGTTTAATCATGGGAATATATTCACCGTGTGGTTTATTTTTACAGTGAAGTCTCTTATGTTCAGCTTGATCTGCTCTCCAATCGTACCTGTAAAATAGTATTTAAATATAGGGATATAAAAGTAGCTGCTTATATCGATCAAGACTGTAGAAAATCGATTACCTCAATTGTTAAAGTACAAGAGAAAAGGAAAACAATACTCCGGCTTGAGAAATATACCTACTGATACTATGAAACAAAATCGGTATTGACGGAAACTCGTTACTTGCGTAATATAATAAGTGGTGCTCGAAAAATGTGGACGTCCTGGTGCCAAATCCCAAATATTACCACTTTTCGTATGGTATTTGAGTCTCGTCAGTATATTATTTGAGACTAATATTATTTATATGGTAATTTGCACAATTCTACTTGACAATATCAGATCCTTTCATTATACATAACTTACCACCAAGAGGCATCACTAAACGCGTTTGTGTCCATACAAAGATAACCAAATCCCGAACCAATGGCCAGTCCTTTCTTGGGGGTTCCCGTAACTACCTTGATGCCAAACAGCGTGACTAGTAAGAAGTAGGAAGTCGGCAAGATCATCAGAACACGTCCAAACAGCATTATGTATGATTTGCTAATAATTATAAAATTCTCAAATTTCAGATTAGTTTTCAATCTTATCTATGGCTCGATTTTTTTTTTTTTTTTGATTTTTTTTAAAGCTTTATCTCCCTAGCGGAAATCCGAGTTTGCAATTTTGACACAGCCGATGAACAATGTCAAGCTTCTGGCTGTGT